CTTGATATTTTGAAAAAATTTTAGAAGCAGATAAATCAAAACCCCCTTTTTTAATCTCTGGTTAAGAAACTTTTATTTTTATATCATTTATTTAAAAAACAAACAAACAAACAAACAAATAAATATTTTGAATTTTAGACATTATTATTGATATGAAGAGAAAAAAATATTAATCAAATCTTCTAAGTAAAAATTAATAAATTATGTTAAAAAAATTCTAAAGATGGATCAATAGAAATGATTAGATGATAGACTTGAGTCAAAAATAATAATTTTATCAATTCTAAAGAAATACATTTTTTATTTTTATTTGATTTAAAAAATAATAACATACTTTGTGATTTAGAAAGCATTTTGAATAAGAAGAAATTAAAATATAGTTTTATTAAGCAAGTATAACAATTAATTAAATTTAATAAATATAAAATTTACTTAATAATTATTGATATTTCAAATTAAAAATAATTTACTATTTAAAATAACAATAATTAAGTATAAAAAAATTATTTAAAATTTAATATCTTACAAAATATTTTTTTTTATTTAATATTTAAAATCTTAGACATATCAATCATAATATATAGGTTTAATGATTAATTAACATATTGCTGGTTGTTTTGTTTTATAATAAGGGATTATAGAATTTAGCAAATTTCTTCATAATTTTTGTCCTACTTTAGTTATAATAATTTAATTAATTTTATTTAATAAAAAATGCTAATTTAAATTTAATTATTTTATTTAATTTTTTTGATTATTATTTGAGTCATAAATAAGAGAAAAGCAAACATTTAAATGATTTTTGATCTAATGTGTTATAATAAAATTTTAATATTTAGCTTTGAATGTTTAAATCTTTTTATTTTAAGTATCAAAAAATTTAGAGAGAATATTTTATATTTGAAAAATAGAAGAGAAATTCAAAAATTATAAAAAAGTATCATTTTAAAATTAAAAAAATTATTTTATTCATTTTTATGCTTAATATTATGATAAATTTTAAAAATAATAAATATATTTAAAAGTATTTATTTAACTATCTATACATATACATATATATATTTATCAATGCATTATACGATCTTGTAACATTTAATAATATATAAAAAAGATATCCTTTTATAATTATTAGCCATCAGTAAAGTTTATAAAAAAGTAGGAAGGAATTTATAAATTGGCTATATGATCTTGAGAATAAATATTAATTTGTAAATTCTATTAGCATAAATATATATGTTGCTATCATTTTAGATATTTTATAAAAATGTATTATTTCTTATAAATTAAAAATTAATAAATATGTATTCTCGCAATAATATCTATTTAGGAAAGATAAATAGATACAACTTTATAATTTTATGAATAATTAAAAGAAAAATTGATAACTATTAATTTTCAATATTTATATATAAACTCTGTTAACAGCTTAAATTTATTTGTAGAAGAACAAGAAAGTATTTCTGAAGAATGAGTGATTTGTCAAAAAATAACCAAGATTTGCAAAGGACTAAAAATGAGATTATGAGAAAGCTTGAAGAATAAAAAAAGGCTTTCAAAGATTTAGAAAAAAAGGAAGAATAGCTCAAGTAAAATTATTTTTGATAGTATTAATAGATCATTAAAATAGTATTGAATAGCATTAATTAATTCTAATATATTTATGAGGATAAAATATTGATAAATTTGTATGTTTATACTTAAAAAGGTAGTCTGGAAAAATATTTATTACAACAGAGAAAAAAGACAATAAATAGGGTTAGAACCAGTAGTCTAATGGTGGTGTAAGTTATTTTAATTCATCTAAGATTATTATCTTTTAAATACAAATAGCATATTCGAAATATTATTAGTATTATTTAAATTAGACTTTTCATAGATATTACTTAAAATATTTTTAAAGCAGATAATAAATTTGATAAAGTTTGATAGTAGCAATATTAAGAATACTTTTAAATTATTATATTGGGCATATGCTAATTAATAACTAGGTTAAATGAATATTCTAATAAAAGAAAAAGGAATTTTAAAACAAATGGAGAGGTGGTCAAAGAGATAGAGGGTAGCCAATGGATAAGCATGATCATAGGAATAATAGCTATAGGAATTAAAATTAAAAAAGATTCGAAAATGATAGATATAATAGTAATCAATCCAATTAGTATGAAAATAGAACTAGGAGTAGATCTGATCACCATCACAATGCTCATCAACATCAAAGGGCTGATAGCAGAAGATACAACAATGACAATTACAGGTACAATGATAAATTTTCATAGAGAGGTAAAAATGAGAATTTTAGTAGCAATAGAAGAGATAGAGATTATAGCAATGAAAGAGAGAGAAAGAATTCAAGAAGGAGTACATCCAGAGATAGAAAAAATACCTATAATAATGGAAATAGCAATAATAATTTTTCAAGGAAAAGAAGCGACTCATTTAGTAGAAAAGACAATCGTAGAAGAAGTCGTTCATATGATAAGAATGATAGGACCAAAAGAAACTATGAAAAAGAATAAAAAAATGATAAAAAAAATGATTTGAGAAGAAGTAAATCTAATGAAAAAAAAGATAAAGAATAAATAAGACAATCTTCCCCTAAAAATAAAGCATTAAAAAAGAGTCCTTCTCCAAGCAAAGATGTCAAATCGAAAGAAAGCTCATTGTAAATATTTTAATGAAAATTAATTTAAATTAATAAATTGTTTAATGCATCATTAATAAAGACCTGCAAAAGTAGCAATTGATAAGAAAAACGCTTTGTTTGGAGTTCTTAATAACCACTTGAAATCAGCATAGAAAATTTTAGATCACGACAAGAATAAAGTAAAATAGATTTAATTTGATTCAAACAAACAAACATATTTTATTCTTGTTGTTTATTATTATTATAATTTTTATTTAGTGTTTACATTAATATAATTGAATTTTATAGATTGAAGAATAGAGTAAATTATGTGAAAAAGTGGAAGAATCTTACTTAACAGAAATGGAAAAGTTAAGATAGTAAAAAATTCCTGAAATCGAGGTATTCTTTTGATAATGCACGCACATTTTTTAATTAGGAATGTTAAATATAAATAGAATCAAAAAAAGAAGACTCAAGAAGAAATGGAGAAATTGCAATAGTAATTAATGGAACTTGAAAAGCAATCAAAAGGAGAAAATGTTGAGAATCAACCACCTATCCCTGAAGTATGCCTAATTATTTAGAGAAATTTGTTAAGAGATTAGCATCAATTAAAAAATAAATAAATAGATTAAAAGTAATTAAAACGAAGAAGAATAAAATGAAAGAAATCTTAGCAACAGCATAGATAGTATTAGCAGATCAAATAGTATTGATGCACAAAGCCAAAATAATAGCAGATAGTCTAGCAGAAGTAGAAGTAGAAGTCTAAGTGAAAGAAAGTCTTAGTCAAAATAGAAATCTGCATCAAAAACAAATAGCAACAAAAATTCTCCCAGTCCAGCTAAAGATTTATAAAATCAACAAAATGTTAACATAGAAGAGGAGTTAAATGTCAATTAATGAAGTTTAATTAAATTAATTATTTTTTACTTTAGTTATATTTTTACATTTTATTTATATGGATTTATAATTAATTAATCAATCAATCAGTATTTCAGTGTTTATATAAAAAGTTTAGTTATTCAATTTGAACTATTTTTTTTTAAATTATTTAATTTTCTTTAAAAAACTAATTTTGAAGTTTATTTAAATATTTAGAAATATTTTTATTTATTGCTTTATTTAAATTACTATTTTAAGTTTTAAATTATTAAAAAATTTGAATTTAGTTTGATTTATTTTGATAGTGGTTAAAAATTATTAAAATGTTAGAATTGTTATTTTTTATTTATTTATTTTGGTGAATAAGTAAAATATCATTTGCATTTGCAAAAAATTCAAATACATTGCAGATTTTAACTTAAATTATGTTTTTGGGTACTTATTAAAAAAATAATATTGGTTTTAAATATATTTTTATAAATTAGTAGTTATTTATTGAAAATGTCATCAAGTAATATACAAAATGCAAATGAATTAAGTTTAGATAACACCAAAAAGAATGAAGGTAGTAATTAGCATTTAGAAGCCTCAACAAAGACTTAGCTAGCATCAAGTGACACTCAATAGTCTACTGTTGATGCCTCTTCAAATCCTGAATAATAAAAAAATACAACTCATAATAGTGACGAAACACATAAAAATTTGAATTAGGTGGATTTTGAAAAGAAATTATAGCAATATAAATCATAATATAAAAATTAAAAGAGTTCAATCAATAATGGAACCACTAATTAAAATAATAATGTAGATGAATAATAAAAAGTGCCTTCTAAAGAGTTTATTAATACTGAGCTAAAAGATTAATCGAATTAAACTTAAAAAAATAATCAAGCTTCTTCTGAAATAAACAAGGAAGAAGAGCAAGGTTTAAGATAAAAGTTAATTAAAGAAGATGCAGACAATCGTCTAAACTAAATTTAAAATAACAAAGATCATTAGCAAATAGATTTGGACACCTTGCCTCAATCTACGAATAACAATAACTTCCTTAATATAAGTTAGGAAATATAAATTTAAGATTTACAAGAAAAGAGATAACAGCAATTGGTAGGAATTAACATTTCTCCAAATAGTAAAGTAACAATAAATAGAGAGCTTAGCAATAGCTACTTTGGTGATCATGATCAAGATGATAGAAGCATTTATCATGAATAAGAAAAACTGTATTCTCCTACACTTGATAAATAAAAAACAACATAATCTAAAAATGAGAGCGAATTGAACATAACATCCTCTCCTAAACAAAACAAAAAAATGAATGAATCTAATCATAAACAAGTAAGTGAGTTTGAAGCTTCTTCTCCTAAAATTATAAAAAATGAAATAATTGGAGATAACGATACTGATAAAAAAATATAAAGCCAATCTAATTTAGCTCACACACCGACTTCTTCTGCCATAAAAGATAAAGACAATAATATATTTTAGGGAAGAGATAATTTCAAAAAATTGAGTCTCAAAATGAACTAAGTTCCATTAGATGAAGAATTTAAAAATTAACAGTAGCAAGTGCAAGCTTAATAAAATAATATAAATGATTAAAGTTCTTAGCCAAAACAGACATAAAAAAGAAAGAAAAGTGAAGAGGAGAAAGCTTAGCAAAAAAAAGATATCTAAAATAAAAAATAACAAAAAGAAAATCAATAATAAGAGGAAGGATAATTAGAGGAGGAGTATGAAGAAGAGGAGGATGAGGAAGATGAAGAAGATGATGATGAAGCAGAAGAATTAGAAGAAGAAGAGGAAAATATAAAAAATAATTAAGGAGTTTTAAAAAATGAAGAAGAAAACAATTAAAAAAGCACTTAAAATAATATGTTAAACGGAAACTAAAAAGCTTCATATAATAATAAAGATTAAGTTTAAAATAATGAATTAATTGAAAATGGAAATCTAAATTACTTATCTTCTGAACAAGATTATGAGGATTTATATAAAATAAATTATAAAAAGGTTGAGGAAAAACCTAGCTATGAATAAGAAATCAGAGTGATGTAACACGATAAATAAATTTATTTAAGAGTATCCAATATATAAGAAGGAATAGTAACTCTCATCAGTGATGATTACAGCTCTGTTAAAATGCCTTTAATTTTCTTACCAAATGACATATCTTGCGGCTCTATTGTTAAATTATCTATTGATAGAGAATATGACCCTGAAGAAGAAATGAAATAATCTGTTGTAGACATATAATAATCAATACTTACAGATCCTAACTATTTCTTATGAAAAAATGTATCTATATATCTATCTATACAAATGCATATTTAACAAATATCCAGTTATAAGTTATATTTATATTAAAAAAATTAGCTAGGAACCTCTTATTTTCTATATTATTATTTTAAATGAAAAATATAAATAAATCTTTTTGTCAAAAAATTTATAAAATAATTAATTGATATAAATATAAATAAAGCACATCTCTTTATATAAATATTGCAAAAAAATAATTTAATAATTTGAAAATTTTATTAAAACAATTTATTTTATTAATATAAATATAAATTAGTTATCTTCATAATTTGTAAAAAATTATTAAATAAATTATTTTAATAAATTTAAATAGAAAGAAAGCATATCTATCTCTTTATATAAATGTTGCAAAAGAATAATTTACTTAATATTTTATTAAAAAATTTATAAAATAAATTATTTTAGTTGATATAAATATAAATAAAGCACATCTCTTTATATAAATATTGGAAAATAATAATTTAATAATTTGAAAATTTTATTAAAACAATTTATTTTATTTAAATTATGATAATAAAAATATAAATTAGTTATCTTCATAATTTGTAAAAAATTTATAAAATAAATTATTTTAATAAATATAAATAAAAATAAAGCACATCTATCTCTTTATATAAATATTGCAAAAAAATAATTTGAAAATTTTATTAAAACAATTATTATTTAAATTATGATAATAAAAATATAAATTAGTTATCTTCATAATTTGTATTTATACTTATTTTCTTATCAAGTCTTCAACTATAAAAGTATAAGAGAGAACAAGCTTAATATAATAAAAAATTAATTAAATTATTGTTTTTTGAATAATAAAAATAATTAGAAGCTACAAAGTGTTAATTAACTAATCATTAATTGATCATAAAAAATGAATTAAATTTAAAAAAGAACTTGCGAAGAACATAAATTAACTTACACTAGCATTTATGTCGATTCCAACTCTTAAAGTGTGCTGAAATGTTTGAGATGTCTTTAATAAAATCTCGATTTTTAAAAAATAATACCTATTGAGTCTATTCAAAATAATGATAATTCATTACTACAAAATTGGACTTTATCTGAAGAAAAAAACCTAACAGAGTATTTTAAATAAGTCTAAGATGAGATAAAATAATAAAATTATGATTAGAAAATAGAAAGTACTAGGAAATAATTTAAGGAGTTTCTAGTATAACTCTCAGCCATAATAGAAAAAGAAAAGGATAAATAACTATAATAAATAACGAATGAAAAAGAACTGCTGTAAAAGTATTTTTATTAGTATCAAGATCTAACATATTGGGTATAATTTAAAAATCTAATGATAAATGAGCATTAATATTAAACATAAGAATTAAACTAGCGTTTAAGATAAATAATCCAAAATTCAGTAAATAACTAAAAAAATGCCAAAATTATTCTTTCAAAATTAATGGATGACATTAAACAATAAAAAAATCCATAAAATTCTAATACCATTTTCTAAGAAATTTACAAATTAATAGAAGACTTTATACTCAAGATTTAAGGTAGAAAATCAAAACCTGTTTTCAGTTTCTAGTAATAGAATAATAATTAATTTAGCTAAGAAAAAAATGAATAAAATTAGAATCCAAACATCTAAGATAATTCTAAAAAGTTTAATTTTTAGAAAAATGGTAATTTTTTCCCTAATTAAAATTAAAACTGCAATTAATAATAAAATGGGCAGTCTTAAACTTATTTCTAAGATAGGAATATGAATTTTAATAATTAGTTTAAATAAAACATGAATGGAAATATGTTTAGAGATAATGAATAAAACCACTGCTAAAATGAAAAGAATTCATAAAATGTCAAAGAAATTATGAATTTAATATCTAACAGAACAAATGGTTGCTAAGCTTAATTCTTGCAAAATTTAGAAAGCATGCTAATTAACACAAAAGAAATTTTTTAAAATCTTAGCTTTGAAAATGCCTTCATGGATAAATAATACCCTTTATAATTAGAACAATTAGATGAAATTCAATTTTCTAAATTAATTGAATATTCTAAATTCCCTAACTAATTCTAATTTACTAAAATAGATGATAATGACAAAAACAAAGAAAAAAAGGATGCAAATTCAAATTAAGATTTGATTAACTTTGAAAGTACCAATTATCAAAAATCATAACATTTTAAATTAAAATTAGAACATAATTCAATTCTTATTGATAATACTAACAAATGCTACCAAGGATAAATAGTAACAAGCACTTCATTAAATATTTAAAAGATTTACTAATTTAGAATGTCTTTTAACAAATCTTTTGTAAATAACATGCTATATTTTGGACTGATATCTTCAAATGATAAAGACACTAAATCTCTTAAAGATATAGAGCAAGGATTTACATTTTCTAATCTTAGCAATAAGAAACCAAGTCTCATATTTGGACCAGGATTTTAAGAAGAAAACATAAAAATAGAAGTAAGAGTAAATCTAAAAAATGGTACTATGCATATCTTCTAATATCCTGAATACTCAAGCATATATGTTTAGAGTTTAGAAAATATTAGGGAACAATAAAATATTCACTTTGGTATTTAATATTAAACTGAGTAATAATTTAAAATAAAGCTATTTGACAATTAAATACTCGAAATATGACTAACATGAAAACAACAAAGTAAATAAATATGTTTCGTATTTATCAATAGAATTAAAAAATT